CTTCAGTGAGTAGGGTAGGCAAACAAAATGTCAGAAAAGCACATGCTGTCAGTGGTACATGGAAGTATGTCAAGGATGCAGTAGGACAAGAACAGAGAGCCGTTCATGCAAGTCACAGAAAGGTCAGAATAAGCATAGTGAGTAGAATGGAACAAAAAGGAACTCAGTCAAGCAGGGGATTCTCTGGAATGATGAGCAGGTACAAAATCAAATTAATAAAATAATTAAGATCTTGAGAAATGAAAATGAGATCAAGTCGATACCAGGTGCTTTTGATAACATCCCTTCTAAGTTATCATCAAACTTGGAAGAAGCCCACATACGAATGTTTAGGGAAAAGCCAGAGGGAAGGTAGACACAATGTGCAGAGGTGAGAATTTTCTGATGATTTCATCTGATTTGCTGTCATACAAGAATGCCGTCAGTTCTCAGAGGACTGACTATTTGCATTTTTGTGTCCTTTTTGGGACTCAGAATCTTGACTGCTGCAGTAGAGACTGGAAAATGGAAAAAGAAGTTTTTTCTCTTCCCTGTGTTTGGGGTGGTACTTCTTTCTGGTCAGCTTCCCAAAGTGACAAGCTGGACCCAGCCAGTTGATTTACATGAAGCAGTTCCTGTAGCTCTCATCTAGGTTATATCTAACTTTGGGCCCATCCTTTTTGCACTCAGTACCAACTTCATGATCAGTGCAGATTGTATATTCAAGGAGTTTTGAAAGACTAATAATTTCAATGTATAAACTGTGCATTTTATCTGAATCAGTGATTTTTACAAAACAATAACATGAAATCTTAAAAACCAAGGAGTCATGAATTCTATGGCATATCGATGTGACAGAATGTGACAGAAACCATCTCTTTTGACTCCACTTCCTACTTTAGCAGGTTTTATCAAACCATTATAAGATATGCTTGTAGGTAATAGTTCCCACCATGTCAGTGTCATGAAATTTATTTAAGTGTCTGACAAGGGGAATGTCTTTTGGAGTGTTGATAAATCATCAGCTCTTACATATTAGTAATGTTACATTAGTGACTCTTTAAATGTTATTGAACATGATATTTTCATCCAACAGCGTATGATTGACATGATTCTCATTTGTTAAACAGTAAATTTTACTTAAGAGTGTTTAAATTGGAGCTGGCGCCGCGGCTCACTAGGCTAATCCTCCGCCTTGCGGCGCCAGCACACCGGGTTCTAGTCCCGGTCGGGGCCCCGGATTCTGTCCCAGTTGCCCCTCTTCCAGGCCAGCTCTCTGCTGTGGCCAGGGAGTGAAGTGGAGGATGGCCCAAGTCCTTGGGCCTTGCACCCCATGGGACACCAGGAGAAGCACCTGGCTCCTGCCTTCGGATCAGCGCAGTGCACCGGCCGCGGCGGCCATTGGAGGGTGAACCAACAGCAAAGGAAGACCTTTCTCTCTGTCTCTCTCTCTCACTGTCCACTCTGCCTGTCCAAAAAAAAAATAAATAAATAAAGGTGTTTAAATTGGGCAGATACAGGGTACCAAATAAAATACACAGTTTATACATTGAAATTATTAGTCTTTTAAAATGCCTTGAATATGCAATCTGCAAGGTTCTATTTTCATTCTGTCTTTGAGAAAATATTTTATGTGATTGATTTGCAACTAGAGTCAAACTGTTCTAGTTTTATGAGAATGTATTCTGTTGGATAGCATGAAAATATGCTATACTATTTTGATATTGATAAATGGAAAATTATTCAAACATATTCCAGGTTCCCTGAGGTTCTCATATAATAACTTTTATGGAAACTAAATTATGATTTGGGAATGGAATAAAATTCTATTATTAAGAAACTAAGACTTGGCCTTTAGGAACTTCTAGTATTTAACCAGGCTCTGGCTGATTACACAGTGGAATTCCTTCACATGATCATTTCAGATTAACGTTTCTCATTCAGCCTGTGGTTTTTAGAAGCATGGAATAGTTGTTAGGATACTACCTATCTGTGTTGACTTAGGTTTAAATGGCAATAGCGTTTTCTCAGAGCATGGAAGACATTTGTGTTCCACATGCTAAGAAAATCTGCAAAAGAGAAAAATTTTAGTGTCATGGAATCAAAGCTTAGGAGTTCAAAGGGACTTCAGAGAACACTGAATCCTGCCTTGTCTGTATAGATAAAGAAACTAAGATCCAGTGTAATTGCCATTTGCTCAAAGGGTTACGACACTTTTGTGACTTACTGTGATGTATATATTTAAATTTTCTGTAGTTTTATATTTTTGCACATAAAGTAAGTTACTGTATATTGGAATTATCTTTACCATTGTCATTTTATATTTCCAGTGACCATTTTTCCTTACTATTTATGATAACAGCATATTTTAAAACCTTAAAACATTATTTAGTTCCAGTTTGTGCAAATAGACCATCCATTTGTGATGCCTATCTCTCTATGTATACTTAATTATAGAAAATTTGAGTTTATCAAACCACCATGGAACCACAAGACTGATCCCCATCCTTTTCTCAATTATTTTATTTATTTATTTATTTTTATTCTATTTGAAAGGAAGAGAGACAGAGACAGAGAGGGAAAGACAGAGACAGAGAGGGGAAGACAGAGACACTGCTTCCAACTGGTGATTCACTCCTCAATTGCCAACAAGAGCCAGGGTTAGGCCAGGTCAAAGCCAGGAGCCAGGAACTCACCTGGGTCTCCCACATGGGTGTCAGGGATCCACGTACTTAAACCATTACCTGCTGCCTCCCAGGAGGTGCACTAGCAGGAAGCTGTGTTGGGAGAACTCGAAGGCAGAACTCAAACCCAGGCACTCTGATGTGGGATGTGGGCTCCCCAAGTGCTGGCTTATCCCGCTGAGCCATAGTGTTCACCCCAACTATTTTTAAACAAAAGAATTTTCTGTGTCTGATTTAATTCTATTAAGAGGTTTTTCTAAAAAAATTATTAAGCAAAATTTCAACTGGACAGGAAGAATAAATTCAAGAGATCTATTGTACATCATGATGGCTACAGTTAACTATGATATACTGTTGAGAGAGTAGATTTAAGTGTTTACACCACAAAGAATAAGTATATAAATTAAGTCATAGGTTAAATAACTTAATTTAGCCATTCCATAATTTGTAGATCGAAATTCCATAGATCGAAAAGTCATGGCCACCCCAAACATGTAAATTTTTTAGTTAGAATTAAAATCTATTATTAAAATGCACAGAGGCCTAAAAAATGAGTTAATAAGGCCTCTCTCACTTTTTAATCTTCTCCCTAGCACGGTGACCTTGATTTGTTTTTGCCTTGAAGCAGTGTCTTGAGAATCTTTTAGTAGGCTGAAGATGAGAGAAAAAAAAATTACAGTAGTCCACCCTTACCCATAATTTTGTTTTCTGTAATTTTAGTTACATACAGTCCAAAAATATTAAATGGAAAATTCTAAAGTAAGCAATTTGTAAATTTTAAATTTGGCACCATCCTGAGTAGCAGTGATAAAATCTGCCTTCCTGCTCTGTCTTGCTCTATCTTGCCTGATATGTGAATGATTCCTTTGGTTGCTGTGTCCAAACTGTGTACTCTAATCAACTTAAGTTTTATTTATTTGAAAGGCAGGGTGGTAGAATGAGCGAGACAGAGAGACAGAAAGAAATTGTCTATCTGTTGGTTCACTCCCCAGATGGTCTCCCATATGAGTAGGTGGCAAGGGCCATCTTCTGCTGCTTTCCCAGGTGCGTTAGCAGAGAACTGGATCTTAACCTGAGCAGTCAGGACTAGAATGTGGGCTGCTGGCGTTGCAGACGGCAGCTTAACTTGTGTGCCACAATGCCTGCCCCTCAGCTTTACTTTTCTCAGTATTACAGTGCTTGTGTCCGAATATCTTTGTTTAACTTAACAGTGGGGCTGGTGCCATGGGGCACTAGGTTAATCCTCTGCCTGCGGCGCCGGCATCCCATATGGGCACCTGTTTTGGTCTCGTTGCCCCTCTTCCAGTCCAGCTCTCTGCTGTGGCCCGGGAGCACAGTGGAGGATGGCCTAAGTGCTTGGGCCCCTGCACCCGCATAGGAGACCAGGAGGAAGCACTTGGCTCCTGACTTCAGATAGACACAGTTTCAGCTGTTGCGGCCATCTGGGAAGTGAACCAATGGAAGGGGGGCCTTTCTGTCTTTCTCTCTCACTGTCTGTAACTCTGCCTCTCAAATAAATAAATAAAATCTTAAAAAAAAAAAAAAAACTTAACAGTGTACCCAAAGCAAAAGAGCAGTGATACTGGAAATTCAGTTAAGCCAAAGCGAAGTCATAAAATACTTCCTTTAGATGAAATGGTGGAAGTTGTCACCTTAGTAAGTAAAATAAAATAATAATAATAATAATAATCACATGCTGAGGTTGCTAAAATCTTTGTAAGAATGAGAAAAAAATTTTTGTAGTATTTACTACTCTATATGATTTCAGGCATTTATTAGGGGTTATGGTATGAACTCACCCTAATGGGGGACTAATGTGTTCTTCATCCCTGCAAATCCTATAATACGTACCTGCCTTCCCTTTTCACTTCTGCTTACAAATGTGCCAAATTTACTGTGCCTCATAGCTTTTCAAGTCTCTTGCTGAGTGTAGCTAGATAAAACCAGCTTCTGCTACCAATATTCTGTCTCCAAGCCTCTTTTCTCAGAACCCCAAATAGCTTCTGTGCATTTAATTCATTCCTGCATATACAGGTGGTCCCGAAGTTATGATGATGTAGCTTAACATCTTCTGACTCCCATGGTTGGAAAACGATGCCCATTCAGTGGAAACCATACTTCAGGTTTTGAATTTTGATCTTTTCCCAGGCTAGAGCTAGGCAGCGTGATACTCCCCCATGTTGCTGGGCAGCAGCACTGAGCACAGCTCTTGGTCTGTCAGGTGATCCCAAGAGGAACAACTGACACTCAAGAGTCTACTGTGTTGCTGAGCTACAGCCAGTGTTCACTAGGTGAAGTATTAAATGCATTTTTGACGTAAGGATATTTTCAACTTACGCTGACTTTATTAGGACATAACTCCATCCTAAGTTGAGGAGCATCTGTGTAGTAGAGGATGCAACTGTTAACTCTCTTAGTCACTTTGTGTTCTGTAGTCCTCTTCAAAGCAGTTCACTCTTTCATGACCATTTGTGCTATTTTCATAAATCTGCTGAATAGTTTATTTTCTTTGGGTTCCAAGTTTTAGTTCCTTTTCCTGTTTCAGCAATTACAAACCAGTTGAGTGAAAAGTGAAGTCACTGACAAAGTACACAGCTTTAATGAGTGAGGGAAGAGAACTCAGGCAACTGACCACAAGCAAAGCATATATTAAAATAGGCAAAATACATTTGGATGTAGGAGTGGCAATTGGAACACTTCAAGTACTTCATGGATGAGAAGTAAGTTGAAGATAGATAGTAGAAAATCTAGGACGTTTAACTCTTTAAGAACCTGGTTCTGGACTGAGTCAAATACTACAGGTACGCTTAGGACTTTACAAAAGATAATTGACATCCTTCAATTTTCATTTTTCTAAAGTGGAGGCAATAGCTACTAACTAATATTGGAAAACTGCAGATTGAAGTGTCAACTGTCTTGCTCAGTGATCTTGTTCATAACAAGTAACAAATGTTGTTTATATGGGCAACTGGTAATTAGAAAATATTATTTAAATTTATGTATGGTTATCATCTCTAGGTATCCTTGTCACAACTTTACAATTATGCAAGAACCTCATTATTTCTTTTTGTATGTTAAAAACAAACAAAAAATAAACTTTGGGGGAAGGCATTTGGCATAGTGGTAAAGACATTGCTTGGGAGGCCCACATGCTGTATCAGAGGGCCTGGGTTCAAGTCCTGGCTCTGCTTTTCAATCCTGGCTTCCTCTTCGTGTACAACTCGGGAGGAAGCAGGTAATGGCTCAAGTAGTATGGTCCCTGTCACCATGTGGGCATCCGGGTTGAGTTCCAGGGTCCTGGCTTCAGCCTTGCACAGCCCCAGCTGTGGTAGATACTTGTAGAGTTAACCAGCACATGAGAGATCTGTTTATTCCTCTCTCTTTCTCTCTGTCTCTCTACATTTCAAATAAATTAAGAGACAGACAGACAGAGAGACTTAAGAACATGGGCAAAATCTCAAAACATAGCTTACAGTTTCCACACAGTATTACCTTATAATAACCTTACTTGAATCTGTTGTAGACTAGTTAAAACCTATTTTTTAAATAGAGTATGTAACCAATACTAATGGAAATAAACATATGTGTAAAGTGAACTTAAGGTATTTTATATATGAAAACATTATGCCAAGTAAATATAATTAAGAAAATATAATTTTCTTTCTGTACTTACCCTAACATTACAGTCTATGTATTTTCCTTTTATGATCTCTTATTTCCAAAGATTTGAAGTTTTTTTATGGTATATAAAAGTTACCATTTTTTCATTGACCATTTTATAATGCTTCTGATCATATTATCTAATTTTCATAATCATTTTTAATGTGTGTATAATTGTTTATCAAGTAGATGGCATTAGTCTATCCCGCTTCTGTCAAGAGTTGGATATTTAGATTGTCTTTAATTTCCCCATACTATATACATGATTCTTCAAGTTGAGGTCAGAGATCATAGAATCATGATCATGTAGCTGACAACATGTTAAGTGACAAAGAGATGTGTCATAGATGGAACTAAATATGTTCCAGATTCTAAAGTAAGTAATGGTTCACAGGACGCTTACATCATCAGGTGGACAAAGAAGTCAAAATATCAGGGAAGCTCATCTTTGGAAGACCTTGTTTCTTGATGCCTGTGGCCAGGTTGATTCAACTTGCTATGGTACTTTTTGTCCTGCCCCAGTGGTATTGTATTTTATGGGAATGTCTGGGGGATTCTAGAATCTCATCATTTGTATCACAACACCTTAAGGATTTTCTTTTCTTATTTGATATTTTGTCAATGAGCATTTCAATTAAAAAGTCAGGAAAATATTTCCTTGGTTGTGTAATCTTCCCAGAAACATCTAGGATTTCTTAAACTCCTCTTCTTTATTAATGGCATTAATGATCAAATCTTTTCAAATTGAGAAAAGAAGCCAAAAGCCAGAAAATATTAGAAGACTAAATATGGAAGATCCAAATCTCTTAAATAGAATCCTGTTTTGTTGTTGTTGTTGTTGTTTTCTTTTTTCAAAGTTGACCAGAGAATGTCACTAAGTTAGAGAGATGAGAAAGATGTTGTAGATAGATTTCCAGCTGGGCTCCAAAGAATTCTAAGCATTTTAAAAAAATTTTAGGGACAACTCAGGGAATGTGGATAGGTGGAGATCTAAGCTCTCTGTTTGTATTTATTCTCCTCATCCCTTCATAAACAAGAGTCTCTAACTGGTTTAGATAATAGGATTTTGAGTAAAATGGGCTGCTTTAAAAACTGGAGGAGTAGGGGGAGCAAAGTGACAAAAACACACGTCTTTATCATGGTACACCCATACATAGTTTCCCTGAGCCATGGCTTGAGGAGAGAAGAAAAGACTGCAGACATTCTGAAAACAGGAAGACATATTTAAAAGTTTGGGCTGAGTCTTATCCAGACATATTGGATTGCCAATATTCAGTACTACAGGATGGCAATCTTACTAATAATCACAGTAAACCCTTTATCAAATACTTGATTTATTCTTCAGTGTTTGGATACTTCCTGTTAAAATCCTCATTTTATACTGAAAGGAAGAAATAACTAATCAAGAAAACAGTAGAATTAGGAGTTTGAATTTAGGAACTTTTAACTTCAGAGATAGGAGTGATTATTTTTGTATATTGCATAACTGTATATTAATTCACAAGTGTTTAAAAAATACTTAGGGGTGTGTGTTGTGCAGTAAGTTAAGCTGCTTGTTGGGATGCTTGCATCCCGTTTTGGATTGTCTAGCTACTCTGGGAATATAGCAGATGATGGGTCATGTACTTGAATTCCTTCCACCCACATGGGAAACCCGGATGGAGTTCTTGGCTCCTGGCTTTTTCCTGTCCAAACCCTGGATGTTGCAAGAGTTTGGGGATTGAACCAGCAGATGTGTTATCAGCTAGCTTTATGAATAATTTTAATATTAATGTTGAGGGTCCTTGCTGTTTATCCAGATAAGAATTCTGAATATCAGCTCGAATAAAACAGGGGACATGGTAAGGTTTTTAGCATTTATTCAGTGAGAGAAATACACAGGAAAGTGAAGGCTTCATTTAGGGGAGAAATTAGTCTAGAAACGAAAGTTGGATCCATACCAGGCAGAGAGCAGGCAGGAGCCATGTGGGGCAAAGCATGCAGTTAGGAGCAGCCACAGGAAGTGTAGCGCAAGTGGGAAAGTAGAGAGAGGCCTGGACACTCCAAGCCTTTTATCTGCCTCCAAAAGGGGAGTGGCTACGTAGTCTGATTGGCAGGTGGGCATATAGGTGAAGTCAGGCAGGGCTGTGAGATCACGAAAAGGGGCAGAGCAAAGGTGTGCTCTTCCAGCTCACGAGTCTGATTGCTTTAACCCTGTCTGGCTGCCTGCATCAGATAGAAGATTGATCTCTCTTTCTCACTCTACATTTAAAATAAATAAATATTTTTTACAAACTTAAAAATTAAAAATATAAACTTTATATTTTTTTTTTTTTTGACAGGCAGAGTGGACAGTGAGAGAGAGAGACAGAGAGAGAAAGGTCTTCCTTTGCCGTTGGTTCACCCTCCAATGGCCGCCGCTGCAGCCGGCGCACCGCGCTGATCCGATGGCAGGAGCCAGGATCCAGGTGCTTTTCCTGGTCTCCCATGGGGTGCAGGGCCCAAGCACCTGGGCCATCCTCCACTGCACTCCCTGGCCATAGCAGAGAGCTGGCCTGGAAGAGGGGCAACCGGGACAGAATCCGGCGCCCCGACCGGGACTAGAACCCGGTGTGCCGGCGCTGCAAGGTGGAGGATTAGCCTATTGAGCCACGGCGCCGGCCCAAACTTTATATTTTAAAATTCATTTTAAATTATTCATCAAATTCAAGACACTGTTGTGAGCAATGATACCAGTCATTAGGTCTATCCCTAAAAGACTGAGAACCCTGGGCATTTAATCACCACAGCGCAGCCTTTACTACGTTATTAACTGAAGAACACTGACTGCCCTTCAAAGATTTCTTAAGGTTAGGAAACAAAAATAAATCAGAAAGAGCCAAATCATGACTGTAAGATAGAAATCTAATGATTTGTCATCAAAAACTCACAAATTGCACTTTCTTTGATATAGCATAACCCCAAAATTGCATAAACCCCAAAATTCCTCCAAAATTGGAGGAATTGCCAAAGAAATTCTACACCTTGGTCTGCTCACTTGATGCATAAAAAGCCAATCCCTGATACCGGGGTGGTGCAGGACAGGAGGTGGTTGTCACAAAGTGTGGAGCAAAGAGCAGGGCAACTGCTGTTTAATTTCTGAGCTCCCTAGGTGATTAGGCATGAAGGTTTTATAGACTGAGTTTGCTCACATGTTGGTGCTAAGAGGTATTTAGCTCATGTACCACTGTCCACAGTGCTTCGGACGCTCCTTCAGTTAGTGATTCATGTCCTGTAGGGAAGTTTGATGGTGGCAAAGTGGGCTCCAGTCAGTCCAGGGGATGCTCCTTAGGTAGTACTTGCTTCTTGGCCTGGACCTGGAGTCACCTGGGAAAGAAATCCCTTGGGGCAGTTTGAGCTTCAGGATGTTAATTATTGGAGTCATAAATGATCTTGAGTTGGATGATAGCTGATGTACTCCCTCAATTCAGTGAGTTAATTTTAGTAATAAGTTGGTATATGATCAAGAAGACAGCGAAAACACATTAAGCTAAGGGATTTAGTCTGGGAGGCTTGAACCTGGTAGCATCCAGTATCTGCAGCTAAGGTGCTATACAGAGGCTTGGTTTCAAGGTCTTCTTTTGCTGGACTGCTTTTACCTCTTGGAAGCCATGGCCATGATTGTGCTTTGCTTTGGGGATCACACTGGTAAAGCCCTGCTTCCTCTCCAGTTCCAGTCCCACACTGGTAAAGCCCTGCTTCCTCTCCAGTTCCAGTCCTTGGAAGAAGTGCTTCAGGCTCTTGATCCTACTTGTTTGAAATTTCCATTGCAAGTTCTGCTCTTGTCTGGGCACAACAGTTTTGGTGCCCAGAGTGAAAAATTTGCTCCCCTTTATTTTTTCAGCCAGAATGGTGTAAGTGGACCCTTGAGATGCCTGTAGTGTTGGCTGTTGTTTCTGCTGTTAATTGTTGGTCCTCTTCAATTAGGGCACTATTATGTTTAATCTTTTTGCAAATTGATTTGGCTGGTCGTCTGCTCTGGCTTCATCAGCAGCATTATTTCATCTTTTCTAATGTTATCCATTTGTAAACTGTTATATTTTTTTTTGGAGTATTGTCCTCATATACTTTTTGTAGAGAGTACAGGTTTTCACCATTTTTCCACACAAGCATCATCGTAAGTTGGATGTTTGTTCATGCTTCAACTTTAGCAGAATTCATGTTTCTCTGATAAGGACACTTTTCAGAAGGATATGTTATCTTAGTGTCTCAGACTAGATCTAGTTCAGACATGATGTAACAAGTTAGTATGAATTTATTTCTTGGAAAAGACATTTGACAACCAGGCATAATTTTTCACAATACTCATTTTTCATGAACTTCTTGAAGATTTCCTTGTACAGTATTGAAACATTTAAAAATATATAACTTATACATAATCGCTTTCTAAATATAATTGTTATTAATAGATTTTTATGTATTGTTCTAATTAGGCTGTATACATATAAAAGTACATGTAGGATGCATTGGTGAAGGGAGTGTCCGCAGTCCCTTCTGAAGGTTCAGTAGAGTGAACTGACGAAAGACAGATTAGTAAAAGAAAAAGGCATTCAGATTTACTTAAGGTGCTGGGGTGGGGGTGGGGAATCATAGGAGTGTGATTACCTGCCCATTCAGTGTATCTATCTTCTTGGGGAAGAGAGAGGTAAGGGAATGTAGGCAATTCTTTTTCAAGGATAATAAATGATTATTGTGGAGGAGGAATGGATCCAGGAGACAAAAATTAATGTGTAAGTGATTCTTTTTGAAATCTGAATGAGCCTGCAAGACACATTATCTTGTGACAAAAGTCTGTCTAGATGTAGTCACATTCCTCAGTCTTCTTTTCTAAAATAGATAATGAGATTTTAGGGAGGGGTGGAAGGTAACTGTGTTCTCTTCCGCAGGTTCATTCTTAAGGCAGATAAGGGGTTATAGGAGTAAAGACTTTCTCCATACCTTTGAGAGAGAAAGACGACCAAGAGGCCTGGGAACTGTAGGAATATCAGGCCTTGAGTCACTGTTTCTACAACCCAGCACACTGGGGTGCTCACCTTGGTGTACTGTTCTCTGAGCCCCATAGTGTCCTTATGTGCATAATTTAAAGATTAATAGACTCAACTTTTTCTGTTCAAAATAATTTTAATAATATAAAGAGAACAGATTTCAAGTATTTCATAGATGTAATTCTATGTATTTCCCTCCCTACCTCCCTGCTTCCTTCAATCCCCTCTCCTTTTCTTTTCCTTTAATTTTTGTGATAACGTAAATTCAGTTTACTTTATAATT